ACTTACACATCACAGAATGAAGGAAAACCTCCGCTGCATTCAGAACCTCAGGCTTTATTGGTCAGACAAATAAGTCTTCTGGGGCACCAAATAAAGGGGTACTTAGCAGTAATGTGTGCCTGTGTTAAGGTGAGTGCTCAGGAGCAGTGACAGCGTCTGGACCCAGAGGAAATGCACCATTCAGACTACACTGTCTCCTCATCCCACAGGTCCTGATGCCCCAGGAGCAAAAGGATTATGTGAAGGAGGAAAAAGTTACAAGATGTGGTGTCAGTTTTTATGGGGGCACGCCTGACGGAGACTGAGATTTCTGAAGAGAAACTAAAAGTAGATCCAGAAGACACAAGGCAGAGCTTGCGCACCGCCAGCTGTTTTCAGAGAGCGGAACAAATGACCCAGGCCCAGGTGACTTTCAGTTTTATTCTTTCCTTTGTTCCCTAACAGAGTTGTAGAGGCCTGTGAGAAATCAGTTGCATTAGTCTGAAAAATATACATACATATATCTTTTGTCTGCCATATACATATGGGTGGTGTTTCTACGTTAACAAGAAAATTGAACTTTTACGTGTTATAGAAACTTCTCATTGGATGAATGGATGGATGACTGTGCACAATTACAGAATATTTAATTAGGCATTTGCTTCTTCCACAATGTGTCAAAATAAAAACCCCATTAGATATCTAGATACAGCCTATAGAGTGGAAATAAGCAGAAAAATTTTAACATTTCTTCTGTGTCATCAAAAGGATATCACTTCATTAGAAAACACTGTTATAACAGGAATCCCTGACATTTGATGATGTGGCCGTGGACTTCACCTGGGAGGAGTGGCGGCTCCTGGCCCCCGCTCAGAAGGACCTGTACCGGGACGTGATGTTGGAGAACTATAGAAACCTGGTGTCAGTGGGTGAGGACAGCTCCCTAGTGTCACTTAGAGGGTCCCCATCAGTGGCCTTTCCTTTCTCAGCTTCTTAAAGCTCTGTCGTGCCTGTGTTGCCCTGAAGTGAGATTCTCAGTCTCCTCCCTGGCTCCAGAGACATGGGTATATTCTCCCTTCTCCTGAGTGCAAGCCATTACTTTGTACATATGTGTGATGTGTATATATGATGATGTGTGTATATGTATATATGTATATATATATATACACACACACATATACATATATATGAAATATATGTATTTTTGGTCTTCATCCCGAATTTTGGCACAGAGGTCCTATAACAGTTGTGATTTCCTAAGTTATAAGAGGATAAAGGTAAAATGGGTGTCTTTTGTTATTTATATAACAAGACGCTTTCAAGCACATTTGAGTTATGTTAAAGAGGTGATTTTTGGAAAGCCACTGTATAACCTAAGGAGGGGGTCTGGTTGCCAGGGGAAGCGACCATCATTAGAGGGTTGGAACTTTCAGTTCCATCTCACCTCTGGGGAGGAGACAAGAGCTGGAGTTTGAATCTGTCACCAAAGGCTAATGATTTGATTTAATTAATCATACCTACTTAATGAAATCTCCATAAAAACCAAAAGGACAGTTTTAGAGACCTTTTGAATTGGTGAACAAAAGGAGGTGTGGAAAAAGTGCTCAGAGAGGGCATGGAAGCTCCACACCCTTCCCACATACCTTGTACTATGTATCTCTTCCACTGGGCTGTGCCTGAGTTTATAATAAACCAGTAATGTAATAAGGAAACTTTTACTGAGTTCTGTGAGTTGCTCCAGCAAATTAATTGGCTCTGAAAAGGGGCCATGGGAACATCTGATCCATACATATTCTATCAGAAGCCCAGGAAATAATTTGGACTTGCGATTGGGGAAGTCTCTGGGAAGTGGAGAGGGTGTGCAGTCTTGTGGGAATGAACTCCTAACCTGTGGGATCTGAAGCCATCACGAGGTGGAGAATGTCAGAATTGAGTTAAATTGTTGGACACCCAGTCAGTGTCCTCTGGTGTCACGGGAATTCCTTGGTGTGTGAAAACCCCATGTAGCACGTGTCAGAAGTAAAGTACTATAGTAGAGTGTCAACAGTAGAGGAGACACACAGTGCAGTATGTTTTTCCTTTATAATGTGAAAATTGTTTTGTCCTTAACTATAACATTTCTGTGGCTTCCCAGACCCCAAGCCTTCTTCTGTCTTCTATCATTTCCCACAAACAGGTTTTCACACCAGCAAGCAAGATGTGCTCTCCAAGTTGGATCAAGGAGAACCAACATGGACAGTGGAAGATGACATCCCCTGTCAATCCCATTCAGGTGAGTCAGAGAACCAGGAGGGGGCCAGAGTGTGGAAATCATATTCTAGTTGGTCAGATACGAGGCACAGCTGTGAGAGGGTTGGAGGCTAGGTAGGCAGTGCCTTCCTACATCTCTCCCCTGATGTGTGACCTCTTTTTCTTCATAGGAATTTAGAGAAAAATGTACCTTTTACCTATTCTGGGATCTATTCCATTTTTATTTTACGTACATCTTATTTTTTTTTGCTTATTTGCATAGTTCTCTTTTTCTTAGGATTCTCGGATCTTTCCCTTCTTCTTCATACTCTTCTACCTTCCTTGCCATAAAAGTCCACTGTCCAGAGGCCTCTCCCCAAACAGAAAACTTTGAATTCCTCACTGTCTTCTAAGTACTGCACCTTTCTGTCCCATTGGTAATGTTGATTTTTCCTTCCTAACCTCCTCCCCATCCTGGATGCTGTGCCCCCAAAGTAAACTGATCTTCACTGGGCCCTTGTCCTCACTTTGAGGTCCTCCAGAGGTTCTGTTTTCCATTTTCTCATCTGGTCTCCTAACCTTTCAAATCTTTTTCCCTTCCTTCCTTCCTTCCTTCCTTCCTTCCTTCCTTCCTTCCTTCCTTCCTTCCTCCCTCCCTCCCTCCCTCCCTCCCTCTCTTGTTTTATTTATTTAAGTAATCTCTACACCCAGTGTGGGACTCCCACTCACAACCTCAGATCAAGAGTCACATGCTCCTCTCACTGGGCCAGCTAAGCGCCTCAAAGTTTCTTTAATAAGCTAAGCTTCTTCTGTTCCCTACAGGAGACTCTCAAACTGACATCTCCTCAAAGTGATCCACCAGACTTTAGTTCTGTATAATTCACTCATCCCCTTGGCAACTCTCCCGAGTTCCCAATAAGTACAAGGAACTCTCATCCTCTTCCCTGCCAGAAAACCTCTGTAAGTTTAGGTTCTCTATACTCCTGTGCATCTTACATCTTGGCCATCCAGACATTATCTCAAATGTTCCATATATGCAGAGCTCTCTTCTTTAAAGGAGTCTCTTGTTCATGAATTTTAGCTAAAAAGATATTTTAGCATCCTCCATTCTCCATTCTAACCTAAGTCAGATCATAACTCATCCCTACTTTAATCCCTACTAATTTTGAACTTTCTTCTCATTCATTGTAGGTGTTACACTGTTGGGTTCATTTCCCTGAAACTTTTATATTTTTTCCATCATATTCTGATGACATTAAGTCCCAGTTAACCACATTACCTGTCACATGACATGAAATTCTTTCTGTGATCTCCATAGTATATTATCTTGCTCACACAAAAAGAGTTTCTTCATCTCTCCTACACTCTCCCCACTGTGTTCTGTACATGTGATTGCTTCCTTCATTCATTCCTTTAAAAAATTATTTTTTGATAGCAGTGTATGCTTGAGGGTAGGAGCAGTAAGAAAATGCATACAAGTAGACCAAGAGCTTTCATTCTAAGAGAAGGTTTAAAAAAATTAATCAAAGTAAACAAATAAATAGTATGTGCAGAGGGTGAAAAGTACTGTGATAAAAATTTAGTCACTATAACAGAATAGTAGGGGCTTGGTCTCCTCTTTAGGAATGGAACACCCCTCTGATAAGGTGCCTTAGAGCCAAGAGGTGAGGGAAATTAGCAGGCTGCTGGATTGGGAGTGTTCCAAGCAGAGAGCAAAGCAAATTTAAAAGCCCAAAGCAGGAATGTGTTTGAGAAACATTAAGGAGCTGTGTGGACAGAGTGGAGTGTGCTGTCATGAACATGATGGAAATAAGATCAAAGAGGCAGTAACAGCAGGGGGAAGGGAGAGTAAGATCATTCAAGTAATCCATTTCAAGGAGTCATGATTTTATTTCTAGTAAGATGAGAAAATATGAGCAGTTCTTGAGTACTGGAACAACAGGAAATAATTACGTGTTCAAAGAATCCCTCTGGTTGTTATATAGACAATAGACAGTAGTGGGCAGGGTGCCATATAGGAGGCTGTTGCACAACAGATGACAGATTGGTTGGCTTCGGTATGGGTGGAAGGGAAGTGTTGGTCACGTTCTGGATGTAGTCATTACAGAGGGCAGATGAGATTCGACATTTAAGTAAATATGGGCTTTGTGAGAGGAAGGAATGGATGGAAGTTGAAGGTAAGGCTCTGGGGGTGAAAACAGCTGTAAGGAACATTAAAACAGCATGACTGAATAATGAGTGCTTGGCCTTGCCTGTGATCTGAGGAATAGGAAATCCGTGTTAATATACACTTGAGCAGGTAGATGAGGGATGTGAGTAGGCTCCCTGGGTAAGGAATGTTCCCAAGTAAAACTGGAAACTCAAAGGCCTGAGGCAGGAGTATGGTCTGCAGAATTTACGAAGAGTAGACAGAGCAAGACTGGAAAGAAGGTCAACGGGGTAGTGGCTGGGGGTTGGGGTAGCAGGTCACATAAGGGTCTTTCATGGACATGGGAAGACCTTGATTTTATTCCTCATGAGATGAGAAAACATTGGGGAGTTTGGAGTGGAGGAGGCTTGACACAATATAATTTATGTTTGGCAGGATCACTTTGGCTGTTGTCTAGAAAGCAGACAGGAGCTGGCCGGGCAGGAACAGGAAAGCCAAGTAGGAGGCTGCCTCTGTAGATTGAGAAAATGACTGGCTTCCAGGAGGGTGGAAGGCATTGGTGTTGGTCTGGTTCTGGTTATGAGTGAGTGAGACACAGATGACAGGAGGTGCTGAGAAGTTCTCTCCGGATTAAAGGGAAGAGCGGAGGTGTCATCATTCACTGTGACGGAGGCGAGATGTGGAGGAGGAGATTTGGGATGGGAAACCAGGAGTTCCCTTTTGGATGTTGTAGGTGACATGTGCTTGGAGCCCAGCCTGTATCATTATTGTTGCTCCCCAAGGCTGACTGAGACAATGAATCCTCCAGGGAGGCCTGTCTTCCTCCACAGTGTCACCTGATTTCCTGCATCTCTCTCCATCTCCATTGCTCCTTCACACCAGTTTTCACAACATGCAGCTGTCTTCCTTGTGTCCCTTTACCAAACTGCAGTGTAGGCTCCCTGAACATGAGGACTCTGTGTGTCCCCCCAGCATGAGCACCACCATGTCCTGTGCACAGTAGCCCTCAGTAAGGATTTGTGACATGAATGAGTCTGTTTCTCACCAGTTTGGATGAGGTGGCCCTCCAACCTGTGGTCTGCTGCTCATGGGAAATTGCATGTATTTCACAGGCGCTGCATGTTTTTCGAGGCCTCATTTAGAAATCAGTCAAATCTGTATTTATTTATTATGAATGATCCAACCTTGTTTTTATGCTACTTTTATCTTTTGGGTTACTTATATTATTGTTTTATCTGATATGCAGGAGTTGTATTGATACTAATTTCATAGAGTCATCACCAAATAGACATATGACATCAAGGGAGTCTTTTAATTGTTTTTCGTCCAAATCAAGATGATAAATGAATTTGTTATTCTTTTCCTTTCTAGAAACCTGGAAACTTGATGACTATTTGCCAGAGCACTTACAAAATGAAATCATGGAGAATAGCTTAGAACGATGGCACAAACATAAGACATTTGAAAATAACGTTCATCAGAGCACAGCTCATTTCGTGTTAAGGCAAAATCATGATATGTGTGACTTACATGGAAAAACTATGAAACCAAACTTAACTTTACTTCACGAGAGCAGAAGCTATGAAATAAAGAACCCTGAAGATCTTACTGGAGATGGAAAATCCTTTCTACATGCTAATAATGAACAGTTTCATCCCAAAATTAAATTCCCTGAAAGCAGAAAACTCATTAGTACTAAGTCCCAATTCATCAAGCATCAGAAAACGCAAAAAACAGACAAGCCTCATGTATGCAGTGAATGTGGGAAAGCCTTCATCAAGAAGTCCTGGCTCACTGATCACCAGATCATTCATACAGGAGAGAAACCCCACAGGTGTAGCCTGTGTGGGAAAGCATTCTCCAGAAAGTTCATGCTCACTGAACACCAGAGAACACATACAGGAGAAAAACCTTATGAATGCACTGAATGTGGCAAAGCCTTCCTGAAGAAATCGCGGCTCAATATACATCAGAAAACACATACAGGAGAGAAACCATATATATGCAGTGAATGTGGAAAAGGCTTCATCCAGAAGGGAAATCTTATTGTACATCAGCGAATCCATACTGGAGAGAAACCTTACATATGCAATGAGTGTGGGAAAGGCTTCATCCAGAAGACATGCCTGATAGCACATCAAAGATTTCACACAGGAAAGACTCCCTTTGTGTGCAGTGAATGTGGAAAATCCTGTTCCCAGAAGTCAGGTCTCATTAAACATCAAAGAATTCACACGGGAGAGAAACCCTTTGAATGCAGTGAATGTGGGAAAGCCTTTACCACAAAGCAAAAGCTTATTGTCCATCAGAGAACTCACACAGGTGAAAGACCCTATATCTGTAATGAGTGTGGGAAAGCTTTTGCCTACATGTCTTGCCTTGTTAAACATAAGAGAATACACACAAGAGAGAAATGTGGAGATTCGGTCAAAATGGAAAGTCCTCCCTCAGAGAATCACAGCTCATCACAGACTAGTGGTGCCATGCAGGAGAAAGACCTTGTCAATACAGTGACTATGGAAGTGCCTTCTGTGGCTTGTCAGACGCCACTAAACATCAGTGGGCTCTTAGCAAATAGGAATGTGGTCATAGTGGGACAGCCTGCAGCCAGATGTGCACCCTCAGGAGACAACAGAGGATTTACACAGGACAGAAACCTTATGAATGCAGTGAATATAGTTATGCCTTCAGTGGTCAATTATGTCTTATTTTATGTTGCAGAAAACCAGTAGGAGAAAGCTCAGAGACCTTCTATGTGGAGAAGGGTTGAGGAAAAATTTCTAGGTCATAGTATGGCTGAAAAGTATATACTGAGAGGAACTATATAAATGCTGAGGCTGGGAAAGCATGATCTCCTCATCCTATTAAAAATATGCATTGATACACAGGCATAATCTGATGTTAACCCAAATACATACATATCAATTTCTCTTTTATATCTGTTAAAGGCATAAAGGAAGTCTGAGTTCAACTAAGTAGAGGAAGTAAGTAGGTGAATTCTAAAAACATACAAGAAAATTTGTATCTGGAATGCTGCTATGAAAGAAAAATCAGGAAAGGGCTAACCTTGGGTGGGTGGGATATGGAGCATGTGTATATCAATTCAGTCTCTGCAGGCCAAGGTGAAGGATTAATTAGGAACTGGGATGTCTGCTAAAAACTCTTAGGGGCACTTATGAAATTGCAGCTTTAGATTGAGTCAGTTCATTCATTTACCAAGTATTTGTCAAATACTTCCTTTGTACTGGGTCCTGTTTGAAGAAGTGAGGATACAGTGGTGACCAAAACAGAATAAGCCCATGGTCTCCTGGACACAGCATTGAGGTAACTGGATTATCTTTAACATTTTTTAAGTGGGGGCTCCACCCAACATGGGGTAGAACTCATGAACCTAAGATCAAGAGTGGCATGCTCTACTGACTGAGCCAGCCAGGTGCCCCATGGATTATCTTTAAGTGATACCTTTACACACCAGCTATTCTAGTGAGAGAATGTAAATATCTATATTAAGTGAGATGGATATGAATCATTGGTTCAAGGAAATAGGACAATATATTGTTGAAGGAGTATATTATTTGGGGGGATGGGGGAAAGACTTATGCTTGTTGAGCACTGTAACACAAACTTATTTTTAAAATGCCTATTTCTTATCTCCTTAAGATTATAAATTCCCTAAGTTTAGTGGCTTTACTTAAATTTTAATGTATTTTTAATTAACTTTTTATGTTTAAAAAAATCAAAACCAGAAAGATGAAAAATCATTGCCTCAGTCACACTAACCACATTTTAATTGCTCAACAGTCACATGTGACTAGTGGCTGTAGAACTGGACAGCAGAGACAATGAGCAAAAAAGGTGTGACACTGAATGAATCTCTGTCATGATTTCCATTACACCAGAAGGTTATACTGGAGAGTGCTGGTTTTCATGATTTTATATTTCCCAGCACATAGGGAAAAAAAAGGAACGTAATTATATTTAGATTCAAAAGTGAATGAATATATTAATGGGCTAATCAAATCTGTTTTGTCACTGAAGGGAAATATGGTTCTAAAGAACTGTCACCCCAAAGTGTTTTCATTGTGATCGGAGAGACTTAATAACAGATTATAAAAGGTCAAAGCAGAAAAAGAGGTAATAATAAAATGTATTCTTAGTCCTTGTGAATAAAGAATTCCCCATCCCTTCATATTCTGGTCACTCCATCCATCATCTTCAATTGTCATCTCTTCAGTGAGGCTTTCCCTCACTAGGCCAGGTTCTCCAATTTCTGGCCCTCTGCAGAACCATGTTTCTCTGCATATAAGCACTTTATAGACTTGCAGTTTTATATTTTCTGGTGGTGAATGTGAAGATAACACATAGGTTATGTTTTGGGTTGATCCCTGATGTTTTTCACATCAACCTCCAGTGATCTACAGTCCAGATAACTCACATCTCCGTTCTTGATTTATTGTGTAATGCTGATGCTGGATTAGAGAGAATAAGGGAAAAGCAGTCTGGAGAGGAGGACTTGCATTTTAGAGTTCCCTCGTTTGAGGAGCTGTGGCAGTGGATGAGGCAGTATATTTGATGCTGTTTATCTTTGAATTCGAATCTAGTGGATATATACTCAGTAAAGATTCTCTCCATCTCTAAGCCCAAAGTCCCAATATTCTTAACATTATGTTTTAACCCATTCAAAATCTTGAAATACCTATGTGTATGAATTTTTACCATAAGGGGATTATATAAACACTGTGTGGAGATGAATATTTCATCTTTTCAAAAAGTCATTAAAAAAATACTGGTAGTTTTATAATTGGCTTTTTAATGGTCACAGACTGCTTGTTCTGTTGAAGAGATGTGTTTAATTTACCAAACTATTTGCCTGCTGATGTACATTCAGGTTATTCCTAAT